ACAGAGCTCAGCACAGTCAACAGTGGAGGACAGCGAAAGGATCTTCACTGAGATGATCCGCTCCATTGAGAGAAGACGCTCTGAGGTGACAAAGCTGATCAGAGATCAGGAGAAGGCTGCAGTGAGTGAGGCTGAAGGAGACATGGAGAGACTGAAGCAGGAGATTGATGAACTAAAGAGGAGACACTCTGAGCTGGAGCAGCTTTCACACACAGGGGATCACATCCATTTCCTCCAGGTAACAGAACAGCTACTTTGGCAACAAGAAAAGCAGAGTATTCAAATGGATGTATGTTTTCATTTGTATTTCAACTTGTTTGTCAGAAATTAATGTTCAATTTAGTTTGATTGCAGTACACATCTGTTTCTATGAAGCTGTTTACTCAGACTCTGTGTCTGTAGAGGTACCACGGTCCTCCTGTCACCCCTGAAGCTGGATTTGGACCCAGAATCACCGTCAGTACACGCTGCTCTTTCGAGAATATGAGGAAGGTGGTTTCTGGACTGAAGGATCAAATGGAGAATGTTTGCAGAAATATAATGACAGAGATCACTCATGCAGGTTAATAAATAAATACATTTTCCACTCTGTACATGTTCTGTACAGACCATACAGAGAGAGTATACAGTACAGTAAGCTTCACATTTGTGGGACCAAGACAATTTCGGTTTCCAGTAAGATAAAATCTTTCAGAAAACATTTGACATAGTAGGAATTGTGTTTCTGCAAAATTCAAAAACCTTGAGATGAACCTTTCTTTCATTCAGGGGTGGCTTTCCTGAAAGCTTCGTAATACTTGTTATCTAGTACTTAAGATCTATCGTTAATTAGCGAGCGTTTCCCGAAACCCTTCGTTACAAATGTAGTTTGTTATCTCGTTCGTAGATTTATGAGTGCTCGGACCCACTCGCTATTATCCCTGTCACAGAGACATAGAGTTTGGCCAAAACAGATGACAAAAACACACTGACTGTCCATTATGGACAACGTAATAATGAGGATATAATAAGAGGTCAATACTGCAACATATATAACTATAATGTTGACTATAAGTAAGCACAAATGGGGGTCGTTGTTGTAACACCCCTATGCCATTTGAGTACATAACTGGGCTGTGCACCATTCAGAACTGACTTGAGAATGTCGTTAAAAATCAAATTCAATTCATGAATCTGTTGAAAATTTCACATAAGTTCATATTCATAGTGTAAGTGCAGCTTTAACAATACAGCTTAATATTTCAATATGAATTACCCAGCATGTTAACATAAACAGTTTACACTGAATCCCACCACATGATCACGAATATTTATGGCAGCAAAATGTACCCGTCGGGCATGCCCCCCTGTTTGAGCACGGTTATTCATAATGAATGCCACATTTGATGTGTTGCCTATAGAATAAATAATTTAACTGTGATCTTGTGTACCATGGTGAAAGAGCACTTCATGCAGTCATTAAAGTAACTCCATCACAACCCTACCTACGAGTATCTGACAACCCGCAGACACTCACAGGAAAAGCAGCTGCAGACTCCTCAATTTTGCCCTCAGTGCACCGTGCAGCTTCTGACAGCTCTCTGCTTCTACGCCACTGGTGGATTCCTGCAGACCTACAGATGCACGTGGCCTCACCAAAGCTGCTGTATCCTGCATCTGTGCAGGCATTGATCGTATTACTGTTGCACCGTGTGCACAACTACATGCAATGTCCAGCAGGAGGGGATGGCTTGCATGATGCTAAAAGTGGTTTTCATGCCATTGCCGGCATAACTGGCATTGTAGGTGCAGTGGATGGACCCTCAACCCTCTTCACATTTGCAGCCCCTTGTGTCCCACCTGCAGGGTTCTTGGTACTGCAGCCATAAAGTGCATTTTACAGACATTTTCGTCCAAGTGGCTTGGGAGGACACGTGATGCTTATATCTGGTCCAGCTTTAGAGTGTCAGATGGCAAAGGATGGTGTGTTTGCTGACGGCTGGTTATTGTAAGACACCAGGCATCCTCTTAGCAAATACCTGCTAATTCCAGTGTTGAATTCCCAAACCAGTATAACGCCACACACCAAAGAACATCAAAGACTATTGAAGAACGTGTGTGGTGTTTTGTGGCCATGTGCATCTGTAGGTCTGCAGGAAATAATACAGAGGTGTGTTAGGCATTTTGATTGGTTGTTTTCTGTAGGCAGTCCTTTTATGGTGACGCCCATTGGATGGCGGCTGCATTTGGAGTGCTTGTACTGCGCTAAGCTAGTTTTCCTAAAGGAGAAGTAAAAAGCTTTAAGTTCGAAGGCTGCCGATGTTTGTGTCTGCTACTGTATCTCTTAACATCCAAGAGCACATTCTCACCTATCAGTGAAATACACGACAGCGTGCTTTGGGCATGTGGGAGATATGATTCTGGTGCCTACCCAAGTCCTTAGAAGCTGTAAGATGCTACTATGTTGTCCTTCTTATGGGTACTATGCTGTACAACACCACAGTGAATATTTTACCTAAATATATTTTTGACCATCTCCTCAATAAGCCGTTTTAAGGCTTCTTTTGAGAAGTGATATTTCCCTTTTCCAGTTGCTGCTTGCCGTTGTGCTTTTTTTTTTTTTACAAGGAACCAGCATCACATATTGAGCCTCTTTTTTATATTTTCAGCAAATATGTTAAATTATTTTGATCTTAATTTTGGTTGCTTTGGTGTCGATTTTCCAATTAGTTTATTTTTTACATCTACATACGTCTGCTGTGAGAATCATGACTTATTTCACCACTGAAATATGTGCGATCGATGTTCCTGTTACCGATAGTCTGGGATTTTCTCATGTGGAGGCTGGAGAGGATCCAACAAAGTGCTAATTAAAGCTTGTTCCTTAATTCCGGAATAACGAAGGGTTTCTGGAAACGCACGTAGACCTCACTCCTTCTTTACCTATGTTGCTATTTATCTTGATCATTATTCGCTAAGATTGATCGCTTTCCTCAAAGCCACCCCAGAATGATTATCACATTTTTAAAATACCCACATAATGATAATAATCTACTGCTGATGTCTCCACAGTGAGTGAAGTCCATCTCCCACAAGTAAATTCCTTTTACTCACATCCCTGTTTCTCTCTGTCTCCTTCTAGTTATCAAAGACGGCGTCTTACCAATATTAGTGCCCAGGACCAGAGCAGAATTCTTACAATGTGAGTCTGTTCACACACACGCTTCTCTCTCCCTGTATGAGGTGGAGTGTGTTTTATTGTGTTTCGTTTTCTTCTGCTAGTGGAGATTCTCTTTCTCTCTCCCGCTGCCTCCTGGTCTTTCACATTTACATGAGCTGTTTATGTCAGTAGCCTTTGAATCCAACTGCGAAGCAAGGCA